TGGGAACGAATCAGCAGAAGACCCTGGGGATCCTGAAAAACGCGATCGTACTGTTTTAGTAATTCCTGGATGGCCAAACAAGGAACATGACCCGTCGGCTCGGTCACACCAAAAGGCTCAATCTATAAGAGATAAGCTAACCCATGCAAGGCTACTAGTTCATGGTCGGGTACCGCCTGTAGTTCGGTGGCCTTGAGTCCCTGAAGGGTATGTGTTGCACTAGCTAACTTGAACCCAATTGTGAGTTTCTGATAGTCTGTTTCCACCGGACCCAAAGTCTTGAGCCATTGAACCCCCAAAACAACAGGGCAAGCGGCTACAGGTAAAACCCAAAAGTCTGTCGAAATTGTATACCCCTGTATAATGAGTAAAAGTTCTTTAACACGGCCTGGGCATAGCTCCTTTTCCCGATTTCCTACTATAACCTCAAAAGTGATATCCCGATCAATAATTAGGCCAAATCGGTCGACCAATGTCTGGTCAATGAAGTTATGGGTACTACCTCCATCAATTAGGACCACTACATCTTTGTTCTTAATCTTGCTGAGCAACCGTAACGTTTGACGATGAATAGTACCTGTAATTGCGTGGAAGGAGACTTCGGCCTGGGGTTCACTGTAATCGGCAGCTGCTGACTCGGTGGTCGGAGGCGTTTCTTCGCCTTCCCCAACATCGTGTATCATGAAGAATTGAGGTTTGGTGCATCGATGGCCGGGTAAGTACTTTTCATCGCAATGGTAACACAAACCCTTCTCACGACGTGCTTTAGCTTCTGTGTTTGAGATTATGCGAGTAGGAGAAGGGATAGGTAAAACTAAAGTGGTGGTTGGGCCTGGGCCTAATATCCCAGCGAAATCGGTGGGAGTTAAACGGCCCACAGAAGAAGTGATGGAGAAACGGATGGGCTGGGACTGTTTTCTAGCGAGGCCCACTTTCTCTTATGCCATTCTTGACGACCCCATCGCATCGATAAGGGATAGAGGCTTCTTCATCTTGACTTCCAATCTGACCTCATCCTTGAGACCCCCAATGTAACATGCCATTAAAAAGTCTTCGGGAAGTCCATCCACCTGATGAGACAACTTCTCGAATGACTCCTGATACTGTGCTACCGTTGTCGTATGTTTTAGTCGGGAAAGAGCTTCGACCGAATTTTCATAATCCGTCGTCTCAAAGCATGCCAACAACGCCTGAGAAAACTCCGCCAAGTCACTGGTCCTTTAAGTTTTGTGAACCAACGGTGCCATTGTAGGGCAATACCGTCGAGATGGATCGAAGCCAAATTGACCTGTTCCTCCGGAGCAACACTCTGAAATTCAAAGTATTGGGAGGCCTGGTACAACCAACCAGTTGGGTCTCCTCCGCTGAAACGAGGAAACTGAAGCTTGTGGTACGGTTTGGCCGTATCACCCGAGGGGATAGCTTGCCACTTGAACTACCCTCACCGTGCTGTTCATGCTTGATGGTCTGGAATTCGTTCATTAACTGCTGGGACATGTCGTTAACTTTTGCGAATCGATCGTGCGTCTCCTGCTGGAACTACTCGAGCGTTTTCTTGTTACGGGTTTCCATTGGATCACGACTGCTTTGATACCACTAATGTGGTCCGATCAATCAGATTCCATAGCCAGAAATTAAGAAGGGAAACAAAGAGAAATTAAGGAAGAGGATTTTGGACAATTTTCTGAATAATCCATTAATAATCCAAACGAATATATATAAAGGAAATTGCAATTAACCACTACTCACATGGTGGAGATCATGGATCACCACTCCTTTATTTTAGGAACAACTCCTTGACACACAATCTAAACATAAACTGAAAGAATAGGAAATAACTTAATTAATTTAGCATAAGGTCCCCTTTGTAACGTTGGCTTCGGTACACATCATAAAATTTTGGAGAATGATTGAACCAAGCTTTTTTTGATTAATTTTATCGCTATTGGTTGTATTTTCCCTTTCTCCATCTCCGATGATGCTTCAACCAGAAAGGGAAGCTTCTTGGTTGCTGCTTCACAAGCCACAAATGGTTTAATATAGAGAGTTTGATTTTGGTTTTGCATTTACATTGGGTTTGATATTGAATCGAGAGTTTGGAGGGAGAGCATCATAAGCAGAAATTGGAAACAAGCAGTAATCGATCGATCGATGATGAAACTGGAAGCATCATGAGGGTATTTTTTTTGTCGTTTACACAATTTTGGATGGAATTGATTTCAATTCCATCATTTTTAGGAAGGAATGATGAAATCCTCAAATGATGGAATCTTTGGAATTCAATTCCATTCCATGGGTAGCCAAACGTTTGAATGGAATTTGGTCAACGGAATTGACCATTCCAATTTCACCAGATTCCGACGAACGAAACGCTCCCTTAAGATTGTCAAGTCACCAGTGACGTCAAACAGGGACGTCGTCCTTTGTATGACAATGGTCGTAAGTATTAAGATTATAATATGACTGTAAGTAAAGAAAACTCGAGTTTGCTTGAGAGCTCCAAGTGTGCTTTGAGTGAACTTCATATGTTGCATGTATGCTTCAAATGTAGCTTATGTCTTTCTTTATGAGCCTTGATATCAGCAACGGTCTTTGTCTTTAATGGTCTTAATGCTTGCTTTCAGTTATGTCCGTCATTGTTAAATATGGGAAGACATGTATTAAACACTATAGAACGTTGTTTGTCGATAGTTAATGGCGACAAATGTAAGAAACATGCAATCATCGTTACTTAATGGCGACCAATAATATAAGTATCTTTAGTCGTACATTTTGTCATACATTTATTGTCAATAGTGACGATCACTAGTCTCAATGTATTTGATCGACATTTTTTATCCACGATATATACTTGGTCGTTAGTTTTAATGTCGGCCGTGACTTTGATAATTTTTACCTAAACAGTTACTTTAGTAGATGAGCATGACACAGGCTAGGAATCTTAGCCATTAAAAGGCATAGCAAGGACCAAGAACTTTGCCCGGTAAATGAGGGAAAATACTCTTACCCAGGAAGCGCTTACGGGGTAAAAAAACGCTTCCCAACAATTCATTTTCATAAATGATAATGTTACCTAATAAGGTAAGTAAGAATGGTAACTTTTATCGATAAACAGTTACTGGTAAACATTTGGTAAACGGTCCTAGTGTACACTGTTTGGGAGATATAGATAGAATCATGGTATGTTCTCAATAGCATGAACCATGGTGTGATGTGTGTGATGCAGACAAACGCATTCGCGAACGCGTGCTTGTGTGCCAATACGTTCGTGAATCTATATGTGTGTAAGAGAGAGAGAGAGAGAGAGTTCCCCTGATATATATATATATATATATATATATATATATATTCATGTTTTATGGATGAACTTAATAAAACACGAAAATCACGTACGTGAAATATTTAGTATTAAGAAAATTTATTCTAATATTTTCCGTTGAATTTAATCCAACATAAAGTAAGTACATGATCGATATGCCGTGTGAACGTTATCATGCACCAATTCACTGTGATTTGGAAACACGTATTTGCTGACCACTTAGGTTTCGTCGCACCAAATGAAATCTTGAAACACGTGGAGGAAACACAAATAGTTTCTTGAAGTGCCAACGATCCGTTCAATGATGGGATCATTTGTTTTTTCCAGTTTTCTCTCTCAGATCTCGGTGAGAGAATAAAAGGGTATATGATTAGTTATATGGTTATCATCCTCCATCAAAAATTTATTGTATATTTTTGGCACTTAATCATAAATAATACAGTGTGATTCTAACTTTTAATGATATACAGTTAGAAAAATGTAAAATTAAGGGTCTACAGTTTGAAAAATATTTATTTTTCAAAACAACCTCCAAAAGACATTAAAATATACACTGTTAAATAGACAATGTTCAAACTATACACCGTTAAACATGACTTTTGAAAATATACGTTTGGTTATATTACGTGTAACGACAGATCAAAATCATCAATTAAATAAAGTCAGAGGCTATATATAATAGTACGTTAAATGATGTATGATGTGACAAATAAATGGTCATGCTGCGTTGTTGCATATTATATAAAACAGACGTATGTGGCTTTATGTGTGGGGCTTGTACTGAGACGCACGTAGTGGACAACGATAAATTGCAACTCACGAATGATATTTAATACATGCATCGAGAATGTACTCTGATGGTAGTCAAGACATGTGATGGAGAACACTTATGCACTTGACCAACTTGGACAACGTGACGAAACTGTGGCTAGGCCAAATGGATGTATGAGATCTCATATATGATGTCGCATTTATGCATGTTATGACTTAATATGCAGGATGGTTGAGTCGATGATTGTAATTAATGTTGTCAACATATCAAGTACATGTCTGTTATGTTTAGTTACGATGAATTACAACCATAAACTCAGTAAAGGCGACGTTAGCGTGTATCTCACAGTTAAGCAAAGGTCTAGTGTGAGGACATCTTGTACACTGTGTTAGCAATAGATCTTGTTTATATTCATACAAGGTGTTTCAATACAAACCCTGTAATTAGTACAAATCATACAAACCAATCAATTGAGATATTTATGGAAACAATAAGAGTTTATCTATTATGATCTGAAAATTATGGAAGATGATTAGAGTTCATTCATTATGATTAACGCTTTAGATCAAGAAATAAACAAGATATTTATGAAACCAAATATTAATCAGATTAGATGGACGGTTGAGATAGATTTATACTAATTAGAGAGTTTGTATGTGAAACTCACCCCGTATATTATGTTATGTTAGTAGAATCATTATTCATATTTACGAGGTTAATTGTAACGTTTGTTAAGACTTCCGCTATAATGTTTTACGATGAACAGACGTTTTAGGCTGAACGTATGTTTTAAGGTTGAAATGACCGTTATACCCTTAGCACATTTGTTTTTTAAAGAGTTTTTTCAAAAAGGAAATCTAATTACAAATACACCTTTGAGGGGCTTCTCATTAGAGTTTTCCCTCAAACCCTCTTTCCAATTCCGCCCACAATCTTTCAACCTCGAAAATGCCGACCTCCACCGCTGTTTCTCCGACCGCCGTGACGGCCGATGATCAATCTCCAACCGCATCGGACTCTGAAGAATACGAGTACGAAGAAATAGAAGTTGAAGAAGAGATAGAGGTTGAAGAAGAAGTCTCCGAGGAAGATGATGAAGAAGGAGTAGAAAGCGATGAAGTGATAGAAACCGGAGACGGTTTATCGCCGCCGATTGAAGACCGAGATCATGAAAAAAGTGAGCATCTTTCTATCTGAAGATCATAGCTTTAATTTACCTTTCTTGTTTCGGTTAAAGTTCGAATTATTTAGCGGTTCAAGTTATGGCATCGTATGCTACTTCAATTGGTGAACAATGCATGTTACTGTTTGTGTAAGTTGTGACCCCTTTTGATGTGTTTCCCCAATTTTGGTATTCTAGGGTTACATAATATGTCAATTGATCATGCATTCATCTAGGTCTTCAGTCTATGTTTCTCAACAATTAATCTGTTTCAACAAAAGGGCTGCACTTTGATTTGTGAAGTCAAATGGCTATTTTCAAATCTGAAGATGTCGACAATTAGAAAGTTCTGAAGAAAAAATGATGACCGGGTTAATTCTGTAACAAGATAAAAGTTGTTGATGTTCTCTCCAAAGAAAATTTTGTTGATTTAGAAGCATAAACACCCTAATCCAAATAAGTTATGTACTAGATTTGACATCAAGAGAATCAAGTGTAGCTCTTTTCTTTTTTGGATATTTGCAATGATCATATGTTTGCAATATGTTTCTGTTCTATGTATGTTTGATTGAGCAAACATTATGTTTAAGTTGGTTATGTAGACTTGTTGTATGTTGGGATGTTGTCAAGTACTGAACTTAGTTATACATGCTTTTATATAATTTCTAGCAAGAGTGCTGGAAAAGGATTATTCTCTTATGTGGCTCAATGGTGAGGGTTACAAGTACCTTCGTGTCCAGATTGGAGCTAAGCCGCACCAACATAGGCTTTTCATGGATCCTTTTTTTTGGTTATATCCTTGCTGTGTATTGTAGTGAACAACTTTAAGTAAAGAAAGACAAAGTGAAGGGATGGTTAGCTTCTTTGGTGGATGCTTTGAGGAATAGGCATAAACACTACTTTTCCTAGTGAAATATTAGAAAAAGGACATACGGGTTTAATCTAGCTTAAAGTTAGATCACCTTTTGTTATCCTAATTTTTGTTGGATATTCTGAAGTGTGGTCTAGTATATTAGACTTCACAGTATTGATTGCATGCATCTGATTTTATATATAGAAACCAAATTGCAATAGAAAATCCGGTTTGCTTTAATGACCAAAGAAGAAAACTGAAGGAATTAAAAAAAGAAGAAAAAGTTAATATTCCATAAACGGGAGTGATACCTTTCAACATAAATAATGACTCAACCGAGTCTCTGGTTCAAGAAATTGACATTGTTTACAAAATTAAGCTACATGTGTAGAACTAATTATGTATGTTGAAAATAGAAGGAGATAAAAAAGAGAGGAAAAAGCTAATATTCCATAAATGGGAGTGACACCTCTTAAAATAAAAAAATGACCCAACTGAGTCTTTGGTTCACGAAAAATGACATTGTTTACAGGATTAACTACCTATGCAGAACCAATTATGTATTTCTGAACTGAAATGATCTGATTGACATGATTGATTCTGAACTTAATCTCAGCTACGAATATCCATAAGAAACTCTGATGAACGCGAGGTGGTTAAACTAGCTAAAACAACCAACGGAACTACAACTCATTGAGGGTGATAAATATGACGATGACAACCCAAGTACCAAACTTTAAAATACATAGATACATTATAAGGTTTGATAGGGAAGCCAAAGAGCCGAAGTAAATGAGGATTAAAACCAAGGATGGAGAACATCTTAACCAAGCTTCATGAAGATGCACCATAATCCACCATAATTAAAAAACTAATACTGTTATTTAATAGATCTACCAAACATCTAAATAAACTTATAGAAAACATATTAATTCAACACGATTAAAACCTTGGGTTACATCCTTATATACAATAAAGTTACTATACTTAATAATAATGAACTATTAGTAATAGATTTTTGTTGCTTTAAAGCCTTTTTTATTTGCCACTAAGTGAATCACGTTTGTGCATGTTATGAATAACTTAGCTCTATAAAGTTAGGAGCATCACCTAGGATGCCATTGGATGGAGGAAAATATTGAATCAAGAAGTATTTCTCTTATACCTCTGATGTGGGTGTATGCGGAGCACAAAAAAGAGTGCACTAGATGTTGCACTTCACAAATGATTTAGTTGTTAGGGTGTCAAATGTTGTGCGTTTAGTTCATTTCCAAGTGTATGCACAACAACTATTTTCCTTAGGCGTCCTAATAACAAACATCACTGGACGCCTCTTATGTATTGGCAAGTTGCTTTCGTAATCCATGGCTGATACATGGCTTTGAGGAATTGGCTCTACTTTCATACCAAGATTCTTTATGGATTCTATTGGAATAACATCTTTGCTACTTCCAATTTCACTTGTTCGATAATTTAATTAACGAACATCCTTGTCTTCTATTTGGATGAAATTCCCAAAGGCACTTGTTTATCATTCTTTTTGCTGCTGGCTACAAGTAGTTGAAGAAAGATGTGTTATTAGCTCTTAGGTTGATCATCAACCACAATCTGGTCATAAAGTACCTCATTTAAGCCCAATTCTTCATCCACAATAGCATTTTTAAGTTTCTTAAAAATACCAACATGGTGGTGCCCATGGAGGTTATTCTAATGTCCATATCCATGAAAATTGAATCATCTTGTTGGAGAAATATGCTCTAGTTACCACTGAGGGATGTGTTTGATGACAAGGATTACTAATTTTACAAGAACAAAAACCTCTTATATCCCAAAATTTGTTTGAGTAGGCTAAAATTCCAAGTCTAAGTCCTTTGGTATATTTCATTTATTCGAATCTCTCCACTATCCTCCATGTTGCTAACATGAGGACATATTGAGCTTTGCATGCTACTATGGTCTTTCTAAATGGTTTATTTTGAATAGGCTTCACCATGAATGGTCTGAACTTTGACTTTAGTTGCACTCTTCTATTTGTTGTCGTCATTATCTTTGGAAAGATGAAATTTGTCTTCAATTTGATATGCTAGTAAAAAGGCATCTCTAGTGGTCACAAGCCTGCTAAGTGCAAACAAATTGGAATATTTTGATTCAAACCATTTCAAATACATGGAGATCATTCTTTTCTCAACCTAAGAAGACTTGGTACATGGGCATTAAATAAAACATTGAAGATGCTTACACCATCGTGCACAAATTTGCAATCACAAGGTTGCTTATAACAGATGGCACAAAGTGGCAACACGACTTCTTTCATGCCCACCATCTTCTCAACTCGCATATACAATTGGCTTCTTCTGTTAACTTTATCAGTCTCCTTTCTTTTGATGAGTTAGCGCAAATAAAACTCTCCATACTATGTTAACAAATTAGCTGTCTTGATTGCATTGATCATGATAGTTTACGACAAAGCTTACCATAGAGAGATTAATCGAGCCTGAAGCTGAGCTTTTTGTATGCTGTTTTGAGCATATCATTTCTATCTATATAATTGGTGTGGGAATATTAACATGAAAGGTGAGTATAGTAGTCACCAAGATGAAACTAGGTCATCAAACCTTTTATTGATCGTCTCTTGTACTACACAAAGGGCATGGGAACTTGGAATTCTAGATATTTTTTTGGTGAACTTGACCAGAAGACCCAAACAAAAGAGTTAAAATAGAATTTGATCATAACAAAGAGAGAAGGACATCGATATATACGTGATTTCTGGTTGAAGACAATTAAAATATTTGAAGTTTAGTAGGTTGCAACGAGCATAATGAAGTAAACAAGTACAGGTTAATGGCATAGGGAGATATGCGGCTATTGGCAATATGATGGTAGCTATTGGCATTTTGATGACTATTGTACAAAGGTGATGACTGAGTTTGGTGGCATGGCCTTTTGCCAGACACTAGGTTAATGGCGGATGGCAGTTTTTGTTGTGAAACCGCTTGATGGGGAGGTGGATAGAAAATAGGAACAATGAGAAGAAAAGAAATAAATTAGAATAATATATATTAGGGACATAATTTAAGCATAACTGAAAGCTCAAATCAAATTGCTTTATATCATAATGTCCATGAAAATGTAAGCAACCTAGGATTCTAGTAGCACATATAAATCTTCTCTCAAAAAGTAAGGAAACAATATGGGCTTTGTTTGTATGGGTGTTTTTTGTTATTTACTACCTGTGTTTCGAAATGTGTTTGTTTGCATATGTTGAAAACAAAGTCTACTCGCTGTGTGTTATAAAAGGAATCATGGGAAGTGAAAAAGTAAATAGTGATTTTGGGAAGAGAAGGAAGATGAGGTGGAAAGCCTGTCGTATGAATGAACCTTGCTATAAAATTTTCTAAGTTCACTTGTAGCCATAGGCAGAGTAATTCTAATGATGTTTGGTGCTCCTAGAAAAAGAGAAAGGAAGTCCATCATGTCGTTTTGCATCAAAACATGAGGTAAATGACCTTTGTGTGTCCAAGGCAATTGATAGGTAAATAGTTACTAGTTTGACACTTGTCTTCTTATAGGCAAAGTCTTGGATTGACATTCGACATTTGGTTATTCGAGAGGTATACTTGTTGGTTACATAATGACTAATACAGAAGCTAAATGCAGTTGATCCGTGTGATGTACTTGAAATTGATTTTTGAGTATCTTCTATGCAACATCATACTAATGTCATATTCTAAGTACACTTCACCCATTTTACGCAATTTCTGTAGACACATTTAGTTTCTCTACTTATTTGGAAAGCTTATATCGTTACTCTGTTGAATTAAAGTGCCAACCTTGAGAGTCAACAAGATGCTTGGTTTAATATGCCAACTTATTCACTTGTCGAAACCCTTTCTTCATGGTTGAAGACCGGCATGGAGTCTCCAAAATCATGCTTCTTGTTCATTAAGGAATACCGAGTAAAAAGGGAAGGCTGTTCGTTGGAAGGGAGTGACCTTTACGAGTTGTCAAAATCTATAGCCAGATATGCTTTTGGCTCACTTGGAAACGAGATCATTTGTCTTGCATAAACATGGAAACGAGATCATTTGTCGTGCATAGACTTGGAATTCGTACTTGTGGAGTGTCATGACATAATAATGTAATGCAAGCTCTTGATAGA